TTTTCCAAAAGCAAACTAACGGGCACCCCTGACGACCGCCATCACCTATGGTGTCACGCGCAGCTAGTTCATGTGCTACATGATGTTGATACAATGGATATTCTGAAGTTTTCAAAAGCTACCCCTGACGGCCTTTATTTCTTAAATAAAACAGCTAGCGGCGCTAGATCATAGTCACTTGAACCGTTTACTTACAGCCCATTGTTGAGGTGATTTGCACCACCTGGAGAAGAGCTCGAGCTTCAGCTTGAAGTGCACTTCCTGCCTGAAGATGACCTTGTCCAGCCACCAATGCCACTCCTCGATCATTCCTGCCAAGTTTGGTTTGCTGTGTTGGAGCTCTTGTTCATTCTCATCGATGAGTTTCAGTTAAATTTTTCATTTTAAATGGTCCGGTTCAGTAGAGACCCAACGGCTCACATAGACTAAAAGATCTCGGTTACACCCTCCAGTGCTTGAAAAGAAGGTGCGAAGGTTAACCAAGTCACTTGAACCGTTTGAATTCAGACAAAATTTAACCAAGGGAAATGTAACAGAACAAACTAACCCTACCATGTCTCGCTCTTCATATGCACCCCAGTTGCAGGTGGTGCTTGTCGAAAGCAAGAAAGGCCGGCAATGGAAAGAAAACCGAATGGTTCGCTGAATACTAGCAAAGCTGGTGAAACTTACAAATATATCAAGCAATGCAATTACTTAGTTTGTCCCAAAAATTATACTGGCCACCAACAGCCACAAATGAACGACGCTGGTGCTATACTATTTAGATAGAAAAACCTCTGTACACATGACAACATATGCTCAAGTCTGGAACCACTCTATTCGCGACACATCAGCAAGGATGTAAGCACTTCAGTGACGTCTCCGATTAATTGTTTGTTCATCCGTCCGTTCAATCCGTTATCAACCATTGGACAGTCTGCGTGAGCAACGTGGTATTTATTAGTCTTCCTCTACCTTGTGTCGACACACGGGCTGAGGTCGGTGATGGAATGGGAATGTAGCATGAGGGGAGTAGAAACATGGGAATGGGGTGCGAGCCTGACCTTGATATCTGGCACTGCAAGGCGGTACAACAACTCAAGAGCTCTTGCCGGCGGTTTTCGTTGAAGGCAGCGTTCCAAACACATGGTCCCACAGGGTCGATGTTATTCCAAAGCCCTTGTTTTGGATTCTGAAGTGATGGTTCAGATGGTATTTCTGATGTGCAGCACAAACAATATGTTAGTCAGTGTACAAAGAGATGGGAGTGCTTTGATAAGCTTCAGGATGAGATAATAAGCACCTTGAGATATTTTGCTGGATCGAATGAAGGGTGGGCGTGATGCAGGTAGTAGTGTGTGCAATCATAGATCACGTAACCCAACAGGCCACCTCCAAACACGCCAGGAGTGGTAGTTGTAGTTGTGAAGAGCTTGACAAAATTCCAGAACTGGATGGACAGAGCACAAGAACAACATTAAAAATAAATACAGCATGGTAGAACAAAATGGCAAGTTAAATACATGTTCTTTCACAATCCTACAGAGGGCATCCAACTCGGTTCAAATGGCTAACACTCTTTCATGTACAGGCAGGAACTAAAAGGCTAAAGCGGTATAGAACAAGCGTGGAAAAGTGTTGCCATGCTTCAGTTGTTGGGTGCCACTAACAGTGTAGTCCTGATATTTTAACAATAAGGAAGATTATATTTACCGGATAGCACAAGATGGCTGCGGCAGTTGGTGGAAATACAAGTCGAAGCCCATCCATTGGATGCTTGTGATGGCATCCATGCAGAAGATAATGAGCCGTGTTTGTCCTGCCATGCCAAAACAGCTATGATCAGGAGATGGTCGTCTCATCTGTTAGACTTAAGCAGTAAATGGGAGCACAACTTACCAGTAACTTTTAGTATCTATGTGGAACAGGTACCGATGTAGCACGTATTCAACCAGTGTCCAGATAAATATTCCTGCCACAACCATCAGCGCTACTTCTGGAACTGTGTGGCCCATTTGGATCGATGTATTCAGGCACCAGCAAACAACAGGCAACCAAATGAGAGGAACTGCCCACCATTTCGTACGTGTTAAGAACTGAAATGAGCCATTCATCAGAACATAATGTCCGAAATTTCAGATAGATGAAGTGCAACAGAAAAAACAGAATGTTCACCTCCAATACATCATTGGCAAAAAACCGTGGCCCCTCCTTGCTAACAATTGGCTGGTGAACCCAGTCTTGATACTGTTCCTCCAGATGACCAACCTGAAAAATGACACCCATATATTTGAATACAGAATCAAAGAGCAGGCCTGGATTTCAACTGCACCCAAACACCAAAGCTTGAACAGAAGAATTAGGCAACAGTCATGATAAAGATTACTGATACATTTGGGGATGAGCAAAGGAATTCTACAGCATCCCAATTTAACTATCATAAATTACATTTAGTACTACATAAAAATATTTACTCTACATCTTGGGGATGAGCAAAGGAATTCTACAGCATCCCAATTTAACTATCATAAATTACATTTACTAATACATAAAAATATGTACTCTACATCCTGGGGATGAGCAAAGGAATTCTACAGCATTCCAATTTACCTATCATAAATTACATTTACTAATGCATAAAAATATATACTCTACATCTTGGGGATGAGCAAAGGAATTCTACAGCATCCCAATTTAACTATCATAAATTACATTTACTAATACATAAAAATATGTACTCTACATCTTGGGGATGAGCAAATAATGTGCTTTAAGAACTAACAGCACCTGTAGCTACAAACTCTTGGTCATCTGTACTCTACACTGACTTATTCCATTGGAAAATCCAATTATACCACAATTCTTTTATTAAAACATAAAGCCAATATGCCAAATAGGCACTCAGAGTTGAAAAAACAGTGCAAAATTAAATATGGGCACATTTACCTGAAATACAAGAGGCTTGTCCAAATTGACGGTAAAGGCTTGTGCAACCATTGTCTTGGACTGTGATGACTGTTACTGTACATAAGAAAAAGTAAGAATAGAGGTATTTCATACAAAAGGTCATGAAATGTCGAACAAATAAATGATATTACAAATCCATGCAGGGCAAGATGAACTAATGGGATCACTACCGGTGTGTGACTGCTACTGTGCAACGTTCGCAGTCTGTACTATCTTCTGAATTTTTACTGTCTAAGTTGGGTAATTTTTAATTGACACTCAAGTGACAGCATACCACCATGCTCCCACATTTCTTTCATGATATGGACCCACCAGCCAGCTCTCAGTGCCCCCGATATTTAACAATTTGAGCAGCTGTTCTCAGCCAACCGATTGAACATTTAAACAAACAGAGGAGCAAGTGGCCATGCCGCCCTGGCGTCACTATTCTATGAGGACCTTGGGCCCAAGGGCCGAATCAGGCCTTGGTCTCAGGGCGTGGCACAGCACCACAGACTGAGAATATCCTCAGATCGTCCAGATCACATGATCTGGTTTTTTGAGTCCATTCATTACAAAAAAAAAGGAAAAAAGAAAACTGAAATTCCAGTTCAGAGACAGGTGCACATGGGGGCCAAGCCTTTTTGCCATGTTACAAAAATTCATGGCAATTTGACTCCAGGGCATATTCTAATAAAGCTGTGCAAGAATACAAGAGAGGCACAGCTCAGAACCCGGCTGTATGGCATCTCACGCCCCCACTGGAATCCAAGGGGAAAAGCTGTGTGCCGGCTGGGGGATTGCTTAATCACAACCCCCATAATTAGAAAACTTATGATGGGTGGCCAGTTTAGCCTAAACTGGGACGTAACATCGCTCGTTCCAACAGTTGGCCAGCTAAATAAAGAGCATAATCAAGCAGGCATCTCACTACGCGACCGAGATTAATTGTCGCTGCATCGATTCCGTGGCTTGTACAAAAAATGTGGTCATGCTCACGCACGCATCGTCCCGGACTACGGCAAGCATGATTTGGGCAACTCTCTGCCTGGCTGGTCCTCGCTCACCCAACGTAAATTTCCCAAGAGTGGACACTCGTCGTAGCAATGATGGGTCGTCGGCCGCCCATTGCGAATTTCACGAGAATCTGAATGCCGACGAGCCCTTTGACAGTTATAAGCTTAGGGGCGAAGCAAAGAATCAGAGGTCGCTATCCAGCCACAGCCACACACACGCAAAGAGAAATATGCTCGCGAGCTCCCAATGCTAAACCACCGTCGCCGTCGTCTACAGCCAAAGCAAGCATGAACAGACAGATTCTTGCCCGCGGCCAGGCGCTGTCGGCCGAAAAGAAAATTCCCAGATGCGTCAGCAGCTCCGCACTGGACGCGCGCCCTACTAGGCTCGGAGAGGCCGCTAAAGACGCTGGCTTTCCGGCGAAGGGCGGCCGGCCGAGTAATGCGGCGGATCTAACCGCCGTTTCCGCCCGGATCTAGCGCCTAGTGGAAGTCCAAGAAAGAGACGGCGGGACAGGGGGGACGAACGAACCTGCTCGGCGCAATGCCTTCCGCCGACGCCGCTGGAGGGGGAGGGGCGGCGGGGGGCGGACCGGCGCGAGCGGCTGGGGCGCGCGCGAGGGAGGGGGGGAGGGAGGCCGGCCGCCGCTGCTGCTCGGGAGCTCGCTCGGAGGGGAGGGGAGGGGAGGGGGGAAGGCCGAAGGCGGGATGCGCTTTAGTTATAGCGGAGACGACTTGGCATGGTGTGGTGTGCTGGTCTGCTGCTGGTGTTTGGCTTTTTGTAGATCGCTCCCTGGGCTTTAGCGGTTTTGTAGGTTGGTCCTGTCGTCATGGTGGTCCGCTGGGGCTGGGCGGAGCTGGCCCGCTCTTAAAATTAGTTAGTCCATAAGTTTCGAGTACTTATTGCAAAGATCACTTCCACATTTTCAGGTTGCGACAAGTAGGACGCAGCATGTGCGTCACTTGTCGCAACCTGAGAGTTTTTTTTTCGTAGATTTGTTTATTCAAAACGTTTCATCTCTTAAATCGTGCCTTTAAATCTTAAACTGTTTTCATCGTTGGATTTCTCGCATCGGGACCTTCAAAACTAAATCTCATATTGATAGATTTCGATAAAAAAAATTTAAAAAAACGAACCGGAAGCACGTGTTTTTCCCCCTTCCGAAAGAGGCACGACGTGCCTCTCACGGAAAAAGAAAACGCATATTTTTTTCGTTTCCGAGGAGGCACGGCCGTGCGTCTCGCGAAAGCACAACCATACCTCTCGTGGAAGAACAACCGTGCCTCTTGTGAAAAAAATCTGAAAACATGTTTTTTTTTACATTTTTGAGAGGCACGGCCGTGCCTCTCGTGAAGGCACAACCATGCCTCTCTCGGGAGGAAAAACAAAAAAACGCATTTTTTCCGTTTTCAAGAAGCACGGCCGTGCCTTCGCGAAAGTAGAAAAAGCAGAAAACGCGTTTTTTTTGTTTCCGAGAAGCACGGCCGTGCCTCTCGTGAAAGCATAACCGTGCCTCTCGCAGAAGCATAACCGTGCCTCTCTCGAAGAAAAAAAATAAAAAACACGTTTTTATTCGTTTTCGAGAGGCACGGCCGTGTCTCTCGTGAAAGCACAACCGTGTCTCTCTCAGAAGTAAAATCATGCCTCTCGTGGAAAGAAAGAAACAAAAAAACGCGTTTTTTCGTTTTCGAGAGGCACGGCCGTGAATCTCGCGAAAGCAAAACCGTCCCTCTCACGAAAAAATGAAAACACGTTTTCTTGTGAAAAGAAAGTCGATTTTTTGGTCCAGTAGTTAAGGAAGACCGGTGAAAAACCGAAACGTCGAAAAAAACCCAAAAAAACTGTTTAAAAGGCCAAAAACGCGTGAGAAAGAATAAAAACCAAAATCCAAAAGGAGCCTAGAGCGCGACATGTGGCGTACGGCTGAGAGCGTGCCAAATAACATTGATTGTTACGAGGCTTCCGAAGGAGCGCTCGTTAACTAGTGGCTCTCCATACGTTCACGACATGTACGATGAATGATGACATGTAGGGGAGCTACTATACGGCGCTGCAGGCGCCCATTCGCGTTCCTGATGCTCAAAGACGTGGCGAGTGGGCCGGCCCAGAAAACGCACAGAGCAGTGAACGTAAATCTCACAAAAAACAACAAAAAGAAGAGATCCTTACAGGTTTCGAACTCAGGTGCATCCACTTCACGTACAAGACCGAGCAGCGAGTCGAGCTACCTGACGTTAGTCACAGCGGCAAGAGCATGATAACAATGTCGTCGCGCTATTTTATTGCATAGATCCATCCATCTATTATATCACTTAAGTTTTTTGAATTATTTAGAAAAAAAACCTGAATTTGGGAAAGTTCATCGATTTTGAAAAAAGTTCACAAACATGAAAAAAGTTCATTGATTTTCAGAAAAAAATCAACGAATTTGAAAAAAAGTTCACCAAATTTGAAAAAAAAAGTACATCAGATTTGAAATTTTTCATCGATTTCAAAAAAAGTCTTAAAATTTGACAAAAGTTCATCGAATTTTAAAAAAAGTTCACCAAATTTGGAAAAAAGTTCATTGATTTTCAGAAAAACAGGTTCATCGATTTTGAACATTGGTTCATGATTTTTGAAGAAAATTCGATCAATTTAGCAAAAGGAAAAAAATAATTAAAACCGAACAAAAAGAAAAACGAAAAAGGAAAAAAGAAATAGAAGTACGAAGAAAAGACTAAAGAAAATCTAACTTAGCATATGAGGTGAGGCCGGTGGGGTGGTTAGTACGGGGAAGTAACGACCGGGAGGTCACTGGTTTGAATACGATGGGATCTGGCCAGCCCGCGAAGGGAAAGTGTGGTGAACAAAAATTGACAGAAAAGATATAAAAAAGGAGTTGCTTCAAACATCGAACCCGCATCGCTCGTGAAGTTAGGCCTTGTTCAACCTTAGCAAACCATAATAATAATTGGACAACTGTGATTTTAATAGCGCTAACAGTACATGAACTACTATAGCCGTATGATTTATTTATCATTTAGATTTTTTATCATTTTTTAAAATTGTTAATTTAAAATCGTTCATTGATTTTGAGACAAAAGTTAATAAACTTTAAAAAGGTTCATCGATTTTGAGAAATAGTTCATCATTTTTTAAGAAAAGTTCACAAACATAAAAAAGTTCATCAATTTTGAAAAAAGTTTAAAAAGTTCATCGTTTTTTTTAAACGTTCATCACTTTTGACAAAAGTTCATCAGTTTTGAAAAAAGTTCATCAATTTTGAAAAATGTCCACAAATTTGAAGGAACAATTCATCAATCTTGAGAAAAGTTCATCGGATTTGGAAAAAGTTCATCGAATTTGGAAAAAAAGTTTATCAAAGTTGAAAAAAGTTCATTGAATTAGAAAATTTTTCATCAAATTTTAAAAATGTGGATGGATTTGAAAAAACATCAAACATTTAAAAAGGTTCATCGATTTTGAGACAAAAGTTAATAAACTTTAAAAAGGTTCATCGATTTTGAGAAATAGTTCATCATTTTTTTTAAAAGTTCATCAACTTTGAAAAAAGTTTAAAAAGTTCATCGTTTTTGAAAAAAAAAGTTCATCACTTTTGACAAAAAGTTCATCACTTTTGAAAAAAGTTCCTCGAGTTTGAAAAAATAGTTCATCGATTTTGAAAAATGTCCACAAATTTGAAGGAACAATTCATCAATCTTGAAAAAAGTTCATCGAATTTGGAAAAAAAAATTATCAAAGTTGAAAAAAGTTCATTGAATTAGAAAAATTTTCATCAAATTTTAAAAATGTGGATGGATTTGAAAAAACATCAAACGAGGAAGAAGGAAAAATAGAAAAAGTAAATAGAAAACAGAAAAAACAGAAAACAAGAAACAAAAAAAAAGATAAGATAAGATAATAAGTAAAAGAAGTGATGGAACTTAGCACATCAAGATTGTGTGGTGGGGTGGTTACCAATGTGCACCTTGAACCAACGAGTCCTTGGTTTGGTTCCTAGATATCGCGGAATGTTTGCCCTTTCAATACGC